AATGATTCTGACTTACCACTGTTGTTTGATGAACTCGTGAAAAAACAGAGCGAGAGAGAAAAGAAACGGAGTGAGAGAACAGAAGAAAACAGCAATAGATGAATGGAAACACGAATGACAAGCTAACCGCTAATGAATGCTAATGCACTGCACTCGCTGTTTTAGAATAAAAGCGAATGATCAAATTAATCAGATTAGTTTGATAGATAATATCAGAAATATGGTGGGAATTAAGTTATATTTTATCACTTTAAACAACAGAGAGTGATAGTAAGATAGAGATTCAACAGAAAAGCAAAGCTACACGGAGCTACAATCACAAACCACTCAGCAGCACGGTACACAGGAAACGGAGTCAATGGAGTCAATATATATATATATATATATATATATATACAAGCATAGACAAATCTATACTACTATAAATGATGTGTGTGTGTATATATATATATATATATATATAATATCATTAAATATGACATAAATATATAACATTATAATATACAAATATTCTTACCTTTTTACATTTAATTTTTTCAGTGTTAGTTTTAGTAATTTTAATACTTCAACATTTATTTCAGCTAGTTATTTGCCAAAAGCAACTTATTTATCAAATATTTTCCAATTTATCTAATATTTAAAACATACCAGTTTTTTTTTTCTAATATATCAAAATATATCAGTTTACATGGTTGACATCCGTTACAGCAGCATACAGGACACAGTTAAGGTTACAGACTGTTGTGAGCACTAGGGGTTGTGCTTCTCATCCACGTCACCACTGACCTTTCTCTGTTTATAAAATGGATTTCATTTCACTTCTTTTTCCATGTTCACACATGAGCCGTTGTCAGTACCCGCGGGGAGGTAAAAGAGTCGCTTTGTCTTGATGAAATGGCAGCAGCAGCCACACATGTTTCTGCCAAAACCAGCCAAGATTCAGAGCTCCACAAACTTCACCTGTTTTATATTAAACCTGTCAGATTAAATGAGTGAGCCGATAAACTGCTGCGAATACAGTGTGAGCCAAAATACACGCCTCTACCCCCTCACTGGCCCGAGTTTCCAACTGATCCCATGAATGACGGCCCGCTTGCAGTGACAGCTTGTGAAATTAAATCTGGTCTGAAGTCAGCAACAGTTGCTTGTTAATCAATTAATTTCCCTTTCAGTTGGATAATTTATAAAGCAATAAACAATACTGGATAAACACCATCTAATCAAATCTCACAATCACCACTTATTGCATGCATGAAAACAATTAATAAATTACAGAAATAAATCAAATTAATATGAAGAATTTTTAATCCCTAAAGTGTTGGTACATACATCTTGAGTCCTCTGTAGAGGACATTATATTCTAGCAAATTTCTCAGAGACCATATATGCCTCAGTTTTATGTCTGGATGCCCTGAGCACATTCAGGGCTTTTTAAAGATGTCAAATATTTGGAGGTTTGACCATGACAACTCCTCTTCCTTGGTCTTTAAAAATGGCTGATATTGACCAAATAATCAAATTTAGCATTGTTATGGAAATATGATAATATTTTGTCATTATTATTTAAATCTGAGTAATTATTATATTGTTTGTCATAAATAAACATCTCAGGAAAATGTTACAAATCAGAATGTCACAAAAGAGGACATCAGTTTCATACAAATCTTCTGTACACGACACCAGGATATACAGCATGTTAATTGGGCATTTTGTGGAGACACAACAAGTCAATAGGAAACGAAATTGTATATTAATATTCCTATGAAATATAGGAGATATAGAGATATTCTTAAGAAAACGTTAAGAATGTTAAGAAAAAGTTATTACTCCCATTATTACACTTCTTTTTTCCATTAAATGTTGCCCCAAGAACACATTAATATGCAAATTAGATACAATATATAGATACATTGTATAGAATGGGAATGCTAATTAATTGCCATTGTGCACACACATATTGCATAAATTAAATAGTATATCAAATCGCTCTGTTATAACTTTCATAACATAGCTGAGAATCATATTTGCTCAAAGTTTGGTTAAAGTGCCCCTATTATGGATTTTTTAAAATTACCTTTCATGCAGTGTGTAACACAGCTCTAATGGCGCTTTTCCACTGCGTGGTACGACTCGGCTCGGTACGGCTCAGTACGGCACGGCACGGTTCGGCTCGGCACGGTTTGCGTTTCCACTGCTGTTCAGTACCGCTTTAGAGTGGGCGGGATTATTGACATGTCGTTATAGTTGCGCCGCCTCTACTACCACGACTCCTAAAAAAACAAATCCTTTTTCATTCCGCGTCGCCCCATCAAGCTCTCGCTGGATCCGCTCCTCTGCTATCAACGAGAGGAACGTCTGTTCT